TAGTCGCCCTCCTCTGGACACGCTCCAGTTTTTCAACATCCTTTTTGAATTGTGGTGCCCATATCCATACTGTGAATAATACAACCTATATCCATACTGGGAATAATACAAGGTTAATTTCTTGGATTTTCACTGAACCTCTGAAAAATTAATGCAGGCTCAGAATTATGTGTAGAGTGGGTTGGGCCTGTAGTCTGGCCAGAGCTCAGTGGTCCATGCTGTTACATTCCTGAATCTAATGCATTCTGGATCTAATGTAGTAGCAATTGGTGACTCCCATGTCACTGGGGTGGCAAATCTATTCCAAGTTTTCCAAAGTGCTGGACATATTTGGGAGATCAGGTTCAGTACCTTTTAATTTTTGACTAAAACCTGCAGCAGGTTTGCTATCCCTCTGACAAATTCTAGCAATAGTGGAAGCCACCATCCACTATGGGACAAAATGAATTTCTTTAGAAACAATGGCAGTAGTCTTTTTTATAGTTCTGTTATCACAATACCCTAATTCCTGTAGTGATGGCATGACAGATTTTTAAATGTAATGGTAGTGAAGTCAAATAGTCATGGGAGGTAGTCTTACCAACTGTTAAAGAAACAGAGTGACTGTCATATTCCACAGTGTTTAGTAAATAGTTAGACAGAGGTGGAAATCATGTGGGCTGCAAGATGTTGTTGGACTACAATGGCCAGCATTCCTCTCCATTGCATATGCTGGCTAGGACTCATGGGACATACTTCCAACATCTGGAGGTCCACATGACTTCCATCCCTACTGTAGTGCTACCTACCATTGTAGTGGTTGAGAATTTCCTTTCAGCTCATTTTTGTTTCACATATTTTGAAAAGCCTTATATCTGGAGGAAGAGGCAGGAGGAGGAGGAGAGGAGGAGGAACTCACAGATTTGGCCATCCAGACTCAGGACTTTGAGTATATAACTGTGATACTGCTGGACCATGACTGCTATATGTTTTTAACCTCACCCTTCCTTCTCATAGGTTTCATGGAGGTATTCTCCAGAAGCTATACTCTGTCAGGTTGCTATCACAACAGCAAAATGCAGTTGCTCTCCCAGAGTTAAATTGAAATTCATTGGCTAATGTTATGCAGATGGCTACCATCTTGGCTTTTACCCCAAGCAAAAAACAAAAACATATATGTGGCTAAACATTTGAGTGTAAGATTGAACTCTTTGTCAGTAACTCTATTCTGTACCTTTTGAAAATGAATCCCTCCCTGTATGAATTAACTTGCTGAGGAATAGAAATGGACTGAAACAAAGTCAGGAAAGTGGCATTTTTTTCAGAAATATAGATGATATACTCCCTATTGATTTGTCAGTGTGTTTTACTTCTGCGGTAGCCTTTCCTCTTAAAGTGTGCTGGCTGAAAGCTGATTTTGTTTTCACTTCCTTTATTCATTTTGATTTCATTTATGCAATGATTTGTTTTTGTTTTTTGTTGTCATCATCAATATAGAAACAAATATGACAACAAGCCTCATCATTTTATTGTATCTGCACCATTCCAGTTCTATCAGCATCTCTTGCTAACTATGTACAAAACTCAGGGTCTTGCCTGTGCAGTGTTGCAAATCTCATCTGTCCTGGCCATAGCTTTGATCATATTTAAACTCAAATTAAGATTTAAAATGTCAAAAGAGCCTATGAAAAATGGAGCAGATGAAAACTAGTGATTTCTTTTAGGCCACTGGGAAACAAACAAGCTCCTGGTTGCTAATCAGCACCGCTGGCAGCCAAGGTCAGATTTAGATCTACGTTTTGGACTGAATATTGTAGACAAATATAAAATGGAAAACAGCATGTGAAGACATCTTGCACAGACATCTTCCTGGTAATTTCTCCCTCCCATGGATTCCTTTCTGGTCTGCAGGGCGGAGAGCCCATTATTGGTCAGTCATTGGTTAAAATTTGGTCTCCTCTGCTTGGGGAAATCAATTACCAAAGCAGCTGCTTAAACCTATGCTTGATCAAAAAGTGGTGGAAAATTTTTAATGGAAACCTCTACACCTTCACAGTCTGCTTTTCACTTTCTCTTTAGTCCATCTTGCATTAATTTGCACTTACCTCTGAAGCTTGGAAAAGAAAAATAATGACAGCAAGGCATTGTTCTTTCAAGAAATCTTCTTCTGGCAGTGTAGCTGTTTGATGAAGCACAAAACCGATTTGGGGGCAAGCTGAGTGCCAAATTTCATGCAGCCAGTTTTTGAAGTGCTTGCTGCCTTCTTCTCTCCTCAAGATCTATGGCCTGCCACAAAGAAAGGGGGAAATTCTGTTCCAAGTTTTGCGACATTGATTCACTGCAGGAAATGGTTGGGTTTAGTTATTGGTCTGTTTCTAGCCTTGGCAGTGACAGCCGAGCATTTGATCACATTTGGCTCGATGCACAGTCTCCTTCTATATTGTGCTGAGCATTAAAATTAGAAAATAAACTTGGGACTGAAATGCTATCTTTAGTCACCAGTGGCAGCATAAATAGATGCTGAAAGTTTAGCTTCTTCTATAGATCATGTGGATGTTTCGGGAAAGGAGAAAGTGCTGCCTTAGGCACAAAATACAGCATCAGTGTTTTTTCTTGCTTTTCAGGAGGGTTGGGAATGATTAGTTTTACATAATATGACAACACTTTTTCTGAATGTATTCCCCCTCTCCCCAAGAACAAAATAAGGTTCTAGAACATTTGATTTTCCTAGTCAAAAGCCAGGAAAGTAGATTACCCAATCTTATTTCCCTATAATGTCAAGTGGACTTTGACTTATGGGAACCCTATGAATGACTTAAAAGATATCATATTATTGACTACTCAGGTCTTGCAAATGGAGGCAATGGCTTCCTCTATTCCTATTGCCTTTAACTTTTCCAGCATTATTGTCCTTTTGTAATGCTCCAGACATCCCCTAATGTATTTATCAATTCAGATGTTATTTGATACAACATTAAAAGTTCTAGCATGACTAGATGTGGTATATGATGGTCCACAAAGCACTGGGCATAGGGGGTATGAACTGCATGTCACTGCAGCAATGCGGAACACATGGGGAGGAAACTTACAAGAAAGAGCACAACCACACACACACACCCTACTCTGCATTTCTGACAGGAAACCAATAACCAAGGGATGAGTTCAGCCAGATCAAACAAGACCAAAATCCCCGTTTATCTTTTCTGTGTTCCCCAATATCCCACACTTATCCTCTTGATTTTGGGAATCCAGATCTTGTCTATGTGTTGTAAAATCCATGAAGCATCATCAATCACAATCAATCCTTCTCATTTTCCCAATCATTCACACAAACTCTTCAGTTTAGAAATCTTCTCAGGTTCTGTCAGAGGTAATCAAATTTTGGGTTTCCCATGGAACTCTCACTGGATTAAGAGTATAAATATGAAACCTTTTTGCTATAGTTGTGGTAGCTTGTTTTCCCCTACATGTATTATTTTTGTCATCAGACTTTTGTCTGAGTCCTTTGTTCCCATCCTCTTCTGAAACCTGCATGCTCAAGCCTCATGGCTTGAGTCCTCATTCTTCCTGGCTTTCTATTGCCTCTACCAACACTTAGTTTCTGCTGTCCCAATTTCCTGTATTCTCTTGGCTCTGTATGCTATGATTTAAATATGTTATCTTAGTATTTATGCTACTCTTTATTTTTCTTAATAAATGCATGTACAGCTCCTCATGCCTGGGGTCTCCATAGTGAGTACTGGTATAGCTGGTGCTGGATCCTGCACATCACATTGCCCTCCCTCTTGCATAGCCATTGAGTATTTCCCTAGACTAATTCAGATAGATTGTAACTGATAGTGGAAGTTCTTCTAGCCACAGACTTTCCAGTGATTATGCTTTTTCATAATATGCCCAAAGTACAATAATCTCAGTTTAGTCTTTTTGGTTTCTAATAGGATTGTCAAGTGACAGGGCTCCTGTGTTTTTAAAGGCTGTGTAGAAGGGGAAAATTCTACTGAAGTTCCTTTTTTGCTGCAACCATTTAAAGGTAAAGGAGTCCCATCTTGTTTGTCACCTAACAACCCTTTGTTTTTATTAACCACCCTCGAGTTGATTTCAACTCATGGCGACTTCCTATCTTCCACTATTCTTCTGAATTCTTGCAGATTCATACCCTTAACCTCCTCAATTGAGTCCATCCATCTAGCATATGTTCTTCCTGTCTTACTACCTCCCTCCACCTTTCCCTAATATTTCTAATGATTCATGCCTTCTCATGATGTGACCAGAGTATGACAGCCTCAGCTTAGTCATCTTTAGGGGGTTGCAGACTGCTAGAAATAGTGCAAATTGAGTCCACGGTTAGG